GAATAATGTGCTCATTTTCTGCCAGTAGAAGGTAATAAATCTTTCCAGACTTCTCTGGCTCTAAGGACACTGCTGTCCAGTCTCTTTATCTGCTTCCAACACAGAGATGAAGGAGTCTCCATGGAGCTCCACACTTCCCCAGAGCACAGCAGTCCCTAGGCTGGCTTTAGTGGCTATGAAACAACTCCCCTGAGTGCAGCTGGACGAGGGATCTCCATACAGGATGCCCCAGCATTGCTGACCTGCTGTTTTGACTGCTCTTATCCTGAGGTGTGTGCTGTGAGGTGGCCTTCAGAACTGGTTGTGGCACTGACATCAAGGAGTTAAGCAGCAAATAGCCCCAGGGGTGCCTTGTGAGCTTCACAGCCAAATCTAAACCTATTTTTTGAAAGCAGCAGGGAGAGCTTGGCTCCCAAGCAATGCTGTGCTGCCTGCTGCCCAGCCCAGCTGGCCGGGCTCCAACTCAGGTGAACACACCTGGCTGGGGACAAGGAGTCACCCCTGGAGAGAACGGGCTCTGGCAAGACCAGCTTGCTGTCAGCTGGTCTGGGGGGGGTCTTTCTCCCTCAGAGCCCTTCCAAAATCAGGGGGTTTATTGTGTTGCTATTGGCTGTGAAGTCTTTTTTTTTTTTTTTTTTCCTCTGCAAAGCTGAATCAAACCCAGTGTGTGGGGTGAGAAGGGATGGCTGCTGGCCAGCTGCAGGCAGCTGGCAGGGGAGGTACCAGCTCAGAGCAGGAAAATTCTGCATCTCAGCCTGCTGCCAGGCTCCCTGCCCTGCACGGGAGGTTTCTGTAGCTCTGCTTCAAGTGCAGAGCCTGGGCTGCCAGGGGGAGGACAAAGTGTAGGCAAAGGACTAATGGCAAGGATGACTGTGACAGCTCCTGCTGTCCTCTGTGCTCACTGCTGACTTGCTGCTGCAGCAAAGGGGTGCTTTACAAATATTTATTAATCTTCCGACAACTTGTGTGTTTAGAATTTAAAGGCAAACTCACTAAATTCCCTTGTGTCTTTTCCTCATCCCTGCTTGGGAAAAAGAAGGATAATAATAACAACAACAACAATGTTGGTTGCTAAACCTTCTCCTTGGTGCAGTAACAATGTTGGGAACTGGAAACCAAGGTACCTGGCTGTACCCAGCAGTGCCTTTATCTTTCCTGAACACTTATCAAGCCAAACAACACACTTTGTTGAAACAGAAAAATTAAGTTCCTCTGCAGAGGAAGCCTAGCTGGGGTGACACTGCAGAGCTGGGTGCTTATTCCTTGTGGTCTTGGGCTCCAAAGCTGTACTATGAATGGCATTTTTCATCTGTAGATCTAGCTGATAACTAAATATCTAATTAATCTCTGCATGTATGGGGAAGGGGGGAGACATGTTTAGGAGTTGCTTTTCCCAGCCCTGAAATGCTGTCAGCTCCAGGCTGAAGTTACCATCTTGGTGTGTATTCCCTTCAGTGGCACACAAGGCTTTGGGGGAAAGGTGTCAAATCTGCCAAGGAGACTCATGAGGTTATATAAGAACTCAGGCTGGCTTTGGTTCATTCCTTTTCTTCTGAATTGTCTCAAGCCTGTGGACTTATTTAATGAACTTAAATGAACTAACTCTCCTGGCCCTTGCTGGGAGAACAACTACTCAATAACTGTCATCTCAATACCAACTGTAAATTCACAGTGGTTTGCAGGAGCTGTAGTATTACAGTACCTCTCAGGAGAAGTTTCAGTCCATGTCCCTGCCCTCCATCCCCACAGGCAGCTTCCTTAGCGTGGCTCCACCACCCTCAGCTGATGGCCTCCCTCTGCTCCTGGCTGAGCACTCCCAGGGCTTGAGAAGGGAAGAGAATACATTTTTAGTAGCTTCTCTTCCTTGTTTTTGTGGCTTAAGTAGAAATATCACTGTCTAATTTAAAGGGTTCATTTTATAAGGTTTTTTATGGAAGCAATGATGTTTTTGTTTTGTTTTTCTCCTGTGTGTTTCATGAAAGAAGCTGTCGAGCTGAAGTCCTTTGCTCTGTTGTGAGTGGAGGATGCTGCAGCACTGGGCAGGGACAAGCTATTCCTGCCCCAGGAGCACCTTAAAGGCCCTTTTGCTGTGACTGGAACAGACACACCAGCAGCAGACATTGGAGAGGACTCCAGGAGACTCTGAGCGCTGCCACTGAGCCCGCCTGGGCACACAAGAGGAGCCTTTTTCCTGAGTTTATGGTGTGGTGTGATCAGCAAGACACAGGAGAGAGTATCCTCCAGGAGAGCCTGGATAGAAGGAGCCTTGTTGGGGCAGCCCATGGATGCTGCTCCCCCACAGCCAGGGCTGCAGCAGCTGTTTGACTTGGATGGGAGCATAAGGCTAAGGTTTGTCCAGGCCCACTGCCTGCACCTCTGCTGCTCCCTTCTCAGCAGAGCCAGCAGGGATGCTGGCCAGAAGACCACCAGTCCATCTCCAGGTACAGAGGCTACAGGGGTGCCTTTAACCTGCTCTTGTCTGTTCCTCCTTGCTCTGCCCCATCTCTGCCTGGGCAGAAATGTCTTCTCTGCATCTCTCCTGGGATAGCATGAGAATTCTCTCCTGTCTCAGGAGAAGTTTCAGTCCATGTCCCTGCCCTCCATCCCCACAGGCAGCTTCCTTAGCGTGGCTCCACCACCCTCAGCTGATGGCCTCCCTCTGCTCCTGGCTGAGCACTCCCAGGGCTTGAGAAGGGAAGAGAATACATTTTTAGTAGCTTCTCTTCCTTGTTTTTGTGGCTTAAGTAGAAATATCACTGTCTAATTTAAAGGGTTCATTTTATAAGGTTTTTTATGGAAGCAATGATGTTTTTGTTTTGTTTTTCTCCTGTGTGTTTCATGAAAGAAGCTGTCGAGCTGAAGTCCTTTGCTCTGTTGTGAGTGGAGGATGCTGCAGCACTGGGCAGGGACAAGCTATTCCTGCCCCAGGAGCACCTTAAAGGCCCTTTTGCTGTGACTGGAACAGACACACCAGCAGCAGACATTGGAGAGGACTCCAGGAGACTCTGAGAGCTGCCACTGAGCCCGCCTGGGCACACAAGAGCCTTTTTCCTGAGTTTATGGTGTGATCAGCAAGACACAGGAGAGAGTATCCTCCAGGAGAGCCTGGATAGAAGGAGCCTTGTTGGGGCAGCCCATGGATGCTGCTCCCCCACAGCCAGGGCTGCAGCAGCTGTTTGACTTGGATGGGAGCATAAGGCTAAGGTTTGTCCAGGCCCACTGCCTGCACCTCTGCTGCTCCCTTCTCAGCAGAGCCAGCAGGGATGCTGGCCAGAAGACCACCAGTCCATCTCCAGGTACAGAGGCTACAGAGGTGCCTTTAACCTGCTCTTGTCTGTTCCTCCTTGCTCTGCCCCATCTCTGCCTGGGCAGAAATGTCTTCTCTGCATCTCTCCTGGGATAGCATGAGAATTCTCTCCTGACTTGGCAGGAATTAGCAGTATTTGGTTGTTACTGGGCTCTGCACTGCAGCCTGGACCCCAGGGAGCTTGCGAGGCATCTGTTTTCCCATCTGAAATGTTTCAGCATCCACCTCTTAGGAATCCAGGAGCTCAGCTGTCACCATCTAAAAATCTCATTTCTTAGGACTTGGTGGCAAAAGCGTTTCAATGATTTGCTTTTGGGAATGAGGTCACAGAAGGTGAGGAAGACACTGGAGGCACAGAGAGCCTGGGGCTGGTTTAGCCAGGCAGCCTGTGAGAGCTGGTCCTCCTCTGCCCACCTGCCACCCTCCAGCCACAGGCAGCCAGCACTGGGTGAGGACACTGAGCTCCTTCAGGAGTGCCCAGACCGTGCAGTCCCACGTGCCAGCTCCAGGCAGGAGGCACACAGGGCTCCTTGACTTCAGGCCTTGGACCCAAACACTGCATCCTGGCTTCTTGAAATCCTAACCTGAGCTTGGCTGATTTAGTGATATTATAGTGCAGGGGGAATGTGAGCCTGGCAGGGTCTGCTTGTGCTGGTGGGGTGACTGGCTACAACTGGCTGCTGAGCTGCTGCTAAAGACCATCTAATTAAAGAGGACATTTAGTTATTGCTGCTTTATTAGGTTTCATGTTGAAGCAGAATCTCCTCAGCTGGTGCAGTTTCCTCCCCTCACTCCCACCTTCTCCACATTCTCTTTGGGTAGATTTCTCCCCTCTTTTGTTTCTGAGGTTTGATCTCCTGAGCCAGCCAATGTTTTCCACTCCTGCTTTAACTGGTGGAAATACAATTGCACGTGCATCCTGTAATGATGGATGTCATTAACCATCTCCACAGCCCAGCTCCTCTGCCTTTGCTGAACACTCTCACTTTCAGGTCAGCTCTGGCCTGCAGAAAGTATCTCAAAGAACAGAAGTGACTGGGGGTACCTGAGGCAGGTACCAGTGCCTGCAGGTAGATGGTAAAGGCTGTAGCCTTTACAGGGGCAAACAGCTCAGCACCAGCAGGGTCCCAGGCTCATCAGTGCCATCTCTGGCTAATTGCAGCCTGGGCTTCTCCATCCGAACTGGCTGCTGTAATGAGGGAGGGTTCAAGCTGCTCTGGGCCCTTTTCAGCAGCTTCTCAGCACGTGTTGGCCGTGGTGTTGGATGCAGCCCCCCCTGGGGAGGGGTGGGAAGCCCTGGGGCGAGAGGGGGAGAACAAGCCAAGCGGTTTGCCTGGGGGAACGGTGCGTCTGGGACCCTTTCCATCACGAGGAAGCCGGTGCTTTGTCCATCTCGCTGCTGATCAAACCTCTCGCCCTACAACCCGTGTGCGCCCGGAGGCTGCTGGAGCCGCCTGGACACCAGAAAGGCCGGTGTCACCGTCCTGCTGGGGAGCAGAGCTGGCACCTTCCTTTGCTACCGAGAGGAGAGGCTGAGAAACCAGCCGAGCCGAGCTCAGGTTGCAGGAGGCTCCTCCTCCAGCCTCCCCGGAGGGAAGGAGGGGCGGGCAAAGGGAGCCCGCAGCTCCGGGCTGCGTTACCTGCCCCGCATCCCATGGGGTGTGCGCGGCCCCGGGAGCTGCTCCCGCCCGGCATGGACAGCCTGAGCCCCAGCCTGAGCCCCAGCCTGAAGAAGAAAGCCACCGAGCAGCACTACAGGGCGGAGGTGATGATTGCTGGAGAGCAGCTCAGGTAGGAGGTGATAAGACCCTTCTCCAGGCTGTGCCCCGCACCCCGTCCCGTTAGCAGGAAGCTCAAAGCTTTATCCTTGAGGAAGCCCTTCCCCCAGGTGCCAGGGTCTCCCCCTCCCCGGTACCTGCTGAGCCTCCCTGCACCCACCGACCCAGCAGTGAACCAGGTCCCCTCCTGCGTTACCTCCTGCTGCTGCTCCCTGCGCATCTCCTGCCTTGCTCCTCCCGGTGCCAGGGGACTGGCAGGTAGTTTTACATGGCAACAGGTTTTCTCAGCCCCTTTGCGTCCTCCCCTAAGCTCAGAGCCTGACGCGGTGACACTGAGCAGGCTCCCCGAGGTCCCTGCCTGGGGGCAGCACCGTCTGTGGGGCTGGTTGCACTTTGGGGCTGATTTGGGAGGTGGTGACACAGGTGCCACCCACCTGAGCTGTTTTGCACAGCAACGTGTAGGGTCTTCCCTCTCTTGAAAGTCACTTTTGGGAACTTCTGTTGGTTTGTAGTCCCAGTTCTTGAGCAACTTCTGGTTTTTATTTTTTATTTTTCTATTTTTCTTATGAAGACAGAAAAATCTTCTCTGCAAGAAACACCCACGTAGCTGAGAAAACGTGTTTCTTGTGTATGTGGGGTCAGAGCCCTCCTTGCTTGAAAGCCTGCAACTGTGGGCTTGTCTAGCTCTTGAGCACAGTTTGCTTGTTTGTATCTGGAGCCATTCTGTTTTGTTTTGAAATGTGGGTGGAAAGTAGGAAAGATATCCTTGAATAACACAGAAAACCCAGAGCCCAAGTTTGCTACCATCAGATTCCTAAAATTAGCTCTGTGGTGCTGTGTTGTCCACTCTCAGTGAGTCATGACAGCTTGATTATTTGTCCTGTATCAAGAATCAATAACTTTCACCTAAGGATTAGGGCTCTATCTTGAAAATACAGGCAGTGTCTAGAGTGGCTGGATGGAAAATCTATAGGGATGGATAACCACGCTTCCAGTCTGTTGTCTTTCAAAAATATTGCTGTCCTGACCCCAGGAATGAAATCTTTCCTTTAGGTAGTGACTGGGAGAGCTGCTGCTGCTGGAGGTTGCATCAAACTTCCTGCTTTTGCAGTCTCTGCAAGTCCATGTTGTAAGCAAGACTTGGAAAAGGAGCTTAACTTTGTTACAGGGGAAAGCAGCAGCTGATCCAAGAGCAAAGTGCCTCATTTCAATAACTCAGTGCAAGAGACAAAGTTATGATTTTTTTTTTTTCCATCTCAAGGGCAGGTCAGTCTTGTTTGTATTTATATTTCCAGTATTTTACTCCCCTGAACTGCCTGAGGTTTAAAATGGGTCCTAGAGCCTGGGCCAAAGGAGGGGACTAGGTATTTGGAGAGAAAATAAAATAAGCAAGATGAGTTAAAACTGATCAGTGCTTGTGCAGAGGGAATGATGTGGCCTCCTCAAGCCTTTTGGGGGACAGAAGCACATGAGATCCTGGAACACTTGGTGATTGTGACTGTAAGAAGGAGATACAATAAATCTGCCTGTGTAGTTTATTGCACACTACAGTAGTTCTTATAAACAAGATAAAAGCATAGTACAAATGTCAAACTCTTCTGAAAACTGGTAATACCAACTGTTTTTTTCCTCCCAGCATTTGTCTGCCAGTGTCACTCCTCATTGTCAGTGTGAGTGTGCCCTGAGCCTTTAAAAAGGATGCTAAAAGCCTGAAGGGAGGCAAGGTGTGTGCAGGGAGGGGATAACTTTCTGTTAGTTCAACCAGGAGAAAGTCAAGTATAAAACCCAAAGTAGGTGTATGTTTTGGGACACCCATCTTTTTCTACTGGAGTGCCCAGGGATATGGACCCTTTTGCTGGTGGCTTGGCAGGGAGCAGGCATGTCCTTCTGCTTTGGTCTGGGCAGGAGCCTGTTCCCAGTGCAGAAGGAGCTGCTGGCCAGTGTGGGGTGTAAAACCTGAGAAGGAGGGTGAAGAGATGAAGACCAACCTGCTGCCCAGCTCATCAGGCTGAAAAGAGAATTGAGTGGTGCAGAGCTGTGGTGCTCAGGGCTGTCTTGTGCTTTGGGGGTGGTACAACCTGGCAGGTAAGGAGTTATGGTATCAGTCTTCCCAAGGACTGGGTGCCAGGCTGGTGTGGCAACGGGGAAACTGAGGCAGAGAGGCTGGATGATGCCTCAGGCAACAGCAGATGGGGTGGGGTTAAATGTCCACATTGTCCTTCCCTGCTTTCCCCCAGGTAAGGAATAAAGAAGTGCAGAAAGGAGCCTCCAGTCCTGCCCTGACTCTGGAAGCCTCAATCAACAAATAATGCTGTTGTATCTACATGAAATCTCAAACATTTGTTCTCCCTGTTCCCCACTTCCTGCTCTGCCTCCCCGCTGTTGCATTTAATCAAACAAACCTTTGCTTCATCTTCACAGCTCTTTGGCTTCCCAGCAAATTTGCAAATCCCTCTGAGTTTGGTTTGGCTGGAGGGATGAGTCTGTTCAGTGTCAGGATGGGTTTCCCAGCCAGAAATAGCTGCACAAGCCAGGGGTGAGGGAATGGTTTGTGGGGATGGCCGGGAGCAAAACTGATCCTGAAGGAATCAAGGGGAGACCAAGAATGGCCACTGGGCTTTGGGCTGCCTGCCTGCCAGGGTCCTTGGCTTCTGGGAGGATTTGGATTTCTAGCCCATGGAGGGTGAAGAGGAGTTTTAAGTCCTGAGTTTCTCCCTATCAGAAAGATTAAGATCATTTCCCTTAGTATTTTAGTCCTGAGTTGCTGTCTCAGCCCTGCTCCTCAGTCTCCTGTCAACTCCTTTGTTTCAGGCACACGAACCTGCATGAAAACCTCACACTGGTTTTCCTGGGTGTCGTGTGTTCCTGGGTGGTGCTCTGTAAGAGAGGACTAATTAGTCATTTCTAATTGCAACAAATGGCTTATCTGCATTGAGATATTGTGGAACAGTGCTTTGCATTCACACACCCTGCTGTAATCTGAATTTCTCAAGTACAGACAAGTCCTTGTGCTCTCTCCTCATGGTCAAGTGAGCAAACCATTCTCTAATTACTCCGTTAAGCTGCATTAATCACTCTTAAACATGAAATGTACTCAGTAGTTTTATATCTTGGGCAGAAAAAGTGAGAGGAGGTGGAAGGTTTTCTCCTCTGATGAAAAAAATGGTGATTTCAGCCACTGTCCAAAATTTGCAAAGGTGCTGAGAGTTTTATTTGGATACTCAAACTGAGACACTGTTAATTAAACTGCTCATACTTGGATGCTCTGGAACTTGGGCTCATTTCAAGCTATGTAGCTGAACATGCCAACATTTGTTTTTCTGGCCAAAACCCTTGGGTCCACAGGTTTTGTGGTTCTCTGTTGAACTTGGATCTCTTGAAGTAGGGATGTCTTCCTGAAGGAGACAGGGGACACTGCTCAGTGTGGCAGCCACCAGGTGACTATTATTCAGAAAATGAGATGAGAACTACATGATCAGAATGACCTTGAAAAGCCTAGTATTAATTTTTCAGCACTGGTGATGGTGAGGACTGGGAAGCAGGCTTGTGCTTGGCAGGATTTCTTTTTACACCTCATTTTTCTATACATACATTTAAATACAAGTGGGTAAAGAGAACATCTCTCCTCCACTTTGGGCTGCCACAGGTGTGCAAAGCTCTCCTCTCCCCCCCAGCATGTACTGGTGCTTTTGCAGACTGGGAGGACTGCAGCAAACTAGGTTTTGCTGAGCCTGTTTGGGGGTTTTGTTTTGGTTTTTGTGGTGTTTTTTTTCTGTAAAGACAGGAACAGGAAAGGTCATTTGGATGACGCATCTTTCCAGGGCTGTTCATTTTGTTCAGTTTCTGTGGGAATGTAAACTGGAGTTAACATCCTTGAAATGCTCCCTGAGCTTTTGAGATGCTCAAGGTCTCTTTCCACGAGTAGGAGATGATGGACAGTGCCCCAGGGAAGCATTCTCACTCTGTGCAGTCACATGTGAGCTCTTGGTGCAGAACTTCAGGGATTGCTCTGGCTGTGCAGCTACAAGGCAGTAGAAGTAGCACGTTTTCCAATACAAGAAAGCCCTTTGCTTCAGGGCATAAGCCTTGATTCAGCCCTTTGGTTCTGAGATCACAGTGAATACACAGAAGCAATGGAGAGAAGAGCTCCTTGAGTTCCTCTCCAGCATCCCTAACACTGCTGGAAAAGTGCTGCCCTGCCAGAGGAGCAGGGACATTGTGTCTGGAACAGCTGAAGTGACTTAAACTCTTGATACCCTCAAGGTTTGTGTTGTGTTTTGGTTTGCTGTGGGTTTTTTTTTTTCCCCTCTTTTTTTCCTATTTACACTGCTGTGGATCTGCCTTTCAACAAGGTTACCCAGGTTGAATAATGATGCCTTTGTAATGACCTTGACAAAGAAACAATGTGGTTACCCAACACAGCCTGCCCAGAGCAAAGGCCTGTGAAGGCAGCGACTGCCAAGCCAGGAGTGTTTCGTAAGAGTCGACTCTCAAGTTCCAGCAAGTATTTTGTCCTTGTGCTAGCCTTTTATTTTTAATTTTCTTCTTCTTTCTGAAGAAGATATGTACAATAGGGTAGGTCTTGGCATCTAGAAAACTCATAATGCTGCACTGCACATCCTTCCTTCATTGTTTTTTTTTGGTTAATCTGCAAGCACAATTATAAACCACTGGTGGTTTCCCTGCCTTTGTGTTTGCAACGTGGTCCATGGGCAGGTTTACAGAGTTTGTCAGCTGAGCTGCTGGACAATGCAGTTGGTGTTTTGTCCTCCTGTGTTTGAAGGGCAGAATTTGTCTCCTTGTAGTTGATGGGAAACAGTAAACAAGAGGAAAGTGAAAAGGCCACAAGGACACTGGAGCTGTGCATCTTCTGCTGCCTTGGGTCTGTGGGAAGGAGGGAAAACTTGTCACAAACTTAAAATAGAAAGAAGGTCCAAGACACTGCTGCTCCAGAGATGCTTGACTGCCGTATCATTCCTATCCTGGCTATAGTTCCCAATAGAATAGTTCCAGAATAATTGTATTTTTTTATTTCAAATCCTAGTTCTTAGTAGAATTGTTGGCTGAAAATCTCTCTTCTCTTTCTTTTCCCTCCACAAGAGCTGTGTATTTGCTGCAGAATTTTGAAATAGGATTATTTTAAAAAGAGCTAGAGGGGAAGCAGTGTTCATCAGAGAGTCACAGAATGGTTGGGGTTGGAAGGGACCTTAAAGCTCCTCTAGATCCAACCCCCCTGCATGGGCAGGGACATGTGTTTTCCCAGCCAGTGTCTGTCCAGGTGCTGATGGGCTGTGCATTATTGTGGGTAAAGATCCGTGTGTGTGTCAAATGCACATATAGTCTTTATGGACTCCTGCAGACTCTTGATAGCAATAGAGTATTCTTGGTTCAACACCTCTTATCTCTGCCAAACATGCCTCTAAAGTGACATCCTACTTGTTGATTAGTAAGGAAAGGAAGTGTATAAGAAGTGGCTGTTTGTCTTCTCCCATAGCAGAGGGCTGGTGGGACAGGGAGCCTCTCTGTTTGCTGTTGCTGCTGCCTGGCTCTGATTGCACTTTGACAGCAGACCAGGAAATAAAGGAAAAAGCTAAAAACTCTAAAAATAGCAGGCAGCTCTCTGCTGCACTGTGGGCTGTTCTCTTCAGGTAAAATCAACGTGCAGAATGACTGCTGGTCACTTGTGGGAATGAATCTTCCAGGTAGAGAGAGCAAAATACTGGCTACAGGCGTCAGTATTTGAGGGAGGGCATCACAGGCAAGACCAGGAGCTGCTTCTGCATGAGTCTTTGCTTTAGTTTTTTAGTTACCTGCAAGGTCTGAAAATATGAGTTGTTTTGACTCATAGTAGCCTGAGCATTAATTATGTCAATCAATTACTGAATCTTCATTCAACACAAGTTATTCTCTTCAGACTTTTGAGACCCGAATATTTGTAAATCCTACAACATAGGATAATACATTATTATCTGATAGACTGTTAGGATGCTTAAAGCTTCTGATGCAGTGCCTGAAACTGCTGTCCAACATGATGTGGGGTGCACACAACTTCTTCAAGGAGAACAAAAGAAGGTGAGGCATTAAGTAAAGAAAGGCTGCAGTGATTAATGTCTCTGTAAAATAAAATGGCCCAGGGCAAAACTGTAAATTGAAATTAATAATTTGAAACCAGCAACATCCTGGAGTAACTGAGGAGATATTAATTAAACATCTCCCCTCTGAATCTGCTGCATCCACTGGGCATTTTCCAGGCTTAGTATTTTGGGAACAGCCATGACTACAGGGCAAAAGTTTGGCTTCTGGACAGATCTCCTGCCAAGCTGGGTTGGCTTTGGCTTGAACACAGAAGATCTCTGTGCCTAGTGGCTTGCTCAGTTGTTAAGGTCCTTTTAAAAGTCAAAGCCATACTTGCCTGGGTAACTGTCACCCATATATATCTTTCCATCAGAGTCCCAGACTAGCCATAACGTCAGGGTTCTCTGGATAGGAGGCTTGTTGTTCTGGTAAACTCTGTCCCAGTCTATCCCAGTTTGAGCCAGAAAATGTCAGGACTGTTGTCCAGTGTCTGTGGACGAGTGGGTAGGTGGATTAGCAGGTGATGCACAGGACCCACCTGGCAGTCCTCTCAGGCACCTGCAGATAAACAAGTGCTGCTGCTGCCCCCTGAGCTGTGGCTGAGACTCTGTCCTGGGGCAGCTACATTACTGCTTTCATGGTGATGGGGAAGGAGAATTAGGCACAGAATGGTACCAAGATGACAAATATATCTACTATTAACTTTTTTTTTCCCTATGTGTTGGCCTTTCTTCCCAAGTTTCAGTTGGCTGCTCTGTATTTTTACAGGCTTAATTAGAACAAAAAGAAACATAAGGTTGAAACTCAATCCAGTGCAGCCAATTATATACCCTGTGGAGTGGTAGGAGAGAAGAAGATGATGGAGGGAGGCTCCTTAGGGTTGACTGATGCAGCCATGGAAAGCCAAGAGCCTTGGTTGGGTTCCTGAATTGCTGTGTGTTTGCCAGAGGTCCCAGAACATGAGTGGTTTCTCCAGGCTGGGCAAACACAGGGTTACTGGACCCAAACTCCCCAGTGACACCAGCTGCTCTCAAGGGCTGTCTGTCCCTCCAGGCTTCGCCTCCACGATGGGAAGCTCATTAAGGACAGACGTTACCACCTCCGGACCTACCCCAACTGCTTCGTGGCCAAGGAGCTCACGGACTGGCTGATCGACCACAAGGAGGCGCCGGACAGGGAGACAGGGATCCGCCTCATGCAGAAGCTCATGGACCACTACATCATCCATCACGGTGCGTGGGTCTCTCTTCTGCCTGGTGAGTCTCCCCGGGGGGTGTTGAGCTCTGTGTCTGGTCACCACTTGTCACCATTAACCCAGGATATGGAAGCAAGGTCAGGTCCCTGTTCATCACCGACCTCTGGGTGAGGACTGGGAGATGATGGGTTGGATGGTGGTGGAGCTGCAGCACTTTAGGGTGATGTGCCAGTTCCCTGTCCTACAGAAAGGGGACCTGGATGTGCACTGGAAAAACAGCACCTGGAGGGGCTCTTGTTTGGAAGCAAGTTCAGTAACACCTGATCTATGTTGCCCTGCAGCAATTGCACTGGCAGCTGGTGGTGAATGTTTTTAGAGAAGTTGGTCTGGGTCATGTTTGTGTCACACACAATTGAGGCTGAACATACTTCACATCTGCAGGAAAAGCCAGGTTTTTTTACTATAGAAACTCAGGGTTCCTCAGTTTCCTTATCCATGGTGAGTGGGACAAGTAGGGGTGTGGGTTCTGCATCACTCAAAGCTAAAAGTCATCGGGTACCTGTCAACCTTGGGCTGAACCAGTCCTGGAGGAATGTCTTCCTTGGGCATCCCTCCATGTCAAAGGCTTGTTGGGGGAACCTGTTAAAAGACAAAAATGAAAAAGAAAAGGGAAGAGGGGGAAAATAGCAGCTTCGTGCTCAATCCCAGCTCTTAGTGCTCAGGCTTTGTTCTTTTTAAAAATTATTTGGAACTTTCAGTTGCTTTGGAGTAACTCAGGGATGTACTGTGGTCTGAAGCAAGTGCTTCAGATTGGCAAAGAGCTGTTTCTCTCCCTGGGTTTTTCATGCCCAAGCAGGAACTAAAGACCTGGATCATCAAACAGGCCTGGGACCCCATTGCCCTTGTTGGGAAGGGTTGTGGCTGAGCTGCTGGCTCTTGCCTGAGCTCTCTTGCTTCCAAGTCTCTGGGACAGGAGCTGTGGTTACTTGGAGCTGGGTGGCGATTGGTCATGAGAGGATGCAGCTGACAACCCTACCAAATCCAGCTCTCTCTTCCCCCCTCTTCCCTAGGATTCAGAGATAGCTGCCTTTGACCACAGTGCTGCAAACACTGCTGCTGTTTCCTGAGGTTAATGCCCTTTATGTTAAGCTGCCTTGAACAAAAATAAACTCTGCTGCTGTGCTTTATCACCAAAGCATGAAGCTGCAGCAGTGAGTTCTCTGTTAACCATTAACATTTAAACCTGATTATTTTTCCATCTCTCCAGCCTACAGCTTCAAATCAACCCATTAGTTAATTAAACCTGGGCAGCACTTGGTGCCAGTGCTGTTTTGATTGCTTATTGTGGACACGTCCCTCCTGCTTCTGTGATAATTCCTGCCTGGACACAGAAGTTGACTTTCCAGCTTGTCTTATGACCATTAATTTTCATTAGTCCCTTGGAAACGGGGCTGCCTCTTAACCACAGCACCATGCTACATGCTCTGCAATTGGCTGTCTAAACTGTTTGCCCTCTTCTCTGCTGGGATCCAGAAGACAATAATTATCTCATGAAGATCATTGTCTGCTCTGTCTCTTAATGGTCTGTTGTGGTTTGAGTTGTTATTCTCTTACATGCTGGAAACACGTTGAAATTGGTATTCAAACAGCAAAAATGCTTTGTTTTTTATGTGGGTGCAATCCTGGAAGGTTTTATGCTCAATTCCACACGAGGACATCTGAATCATTGCTCCTTGAAGCTGTTGAGATCCAAACTTTCCCCTTTTAAAACAGCCTTCTTGACCTGCCTTCTTGCTTGATGAGTCAGGGGCTGTAGTGTCCTGATTTCACACCCAGACAGATGCTGAGGAGCAACACTGAGCTCCAGAGAATCTGACAGTTTGTAGCTTTTTGCTGCTCACCAAAAGGGTGAAGCTTTGCCAGTCTGCTCAGGAGAATGAACAAGTGTCAAAATAAGTATCTTGTGTTTTTATAGTGGGTTATGTTACTTTAACAAGGAAATATTTGTTATTACCCCTCCCCCTCTGGACTGATTTTCTTTGTTTTCTGGGCATATTCTTTACTCTATCGTGTTGCTTTGGTTTGTTTTTGTTTGGTTTGGTTTTTTACTGTTAAAGTTTCTCCCTCTTGCTTCAGACTAGTGGACCTGAAGCAAGGCAGGCTGACTGAGCTGAGAACTGCTGTGTGATTTTTGGGGTGTGGTTTTTTTCACTTGTAGTCTAGGAATCTGTTGCAGTCAAGTTTCTCTCAAAGCTGTATCCCAAACATTTACCTGCTAAATGCTGCGTGCACTGAGCAACCATGTGCTTACAGGCTGTGTGCTCACTACCAAGATAAATATGAAATTGAGGCTTTTCATATCAATTTGACTATTCTAGTTGCATGCTTCTGGCTTTCAAGAAAACCCTCTCCTGAGGTCAGTTTGTCATGCAAGTGACAGGGCAGGGTTGGCACAAAGCAGTGTGAAAAAGCTGATGTCATTATACCTTTTAGCTTACAAGTATTTTTGATAGGGACAGAGGTGATTTAATGGGCTTTTGGAAGCAGTGCAGGGTTTTTTACTCTGGTCCTTCAAGTCTACTTACATGTGGCAGTAGCTTTCTAAAAAAGCTGAGATGATTCTGTTTGTTCTCTTTCAGTTTAAACCAAAACATCAACATTTAAATTGTTACTTATTTTTCTTAAAAAAACTAGCTTATGTTAATTAATGCTTTAGTGTCTGAATCAAAATGTAGAAGCAAACTTGAGCTTTCCCAAGGTTTGCTCAGTGGGACTGGCCATCAGGGGCTGCAAGCATTCATAAGAGCCTGATTTGGGGATGGAAAGCTGGGATGCTGGCTGCTCCGTGCTGTGAGGGGCATGGAGAAGGACATCACAGGCAGCTCCCAGGGCTTTGAACCTGCAGCTAATGCTCTGCCAAGCCTGTGGAGCTCTGCCTCTCCCTCAGGGCCACCTGCAGCACTGATGTGCCTGCTCTGAACTCCTCCTTTCAGTCTGTGATGAGCACTTGGACTACAAGGACGCCAAGCTGCTGTACCGCTTCCGCAAGGACGACGGGACCTTCCCGCTCAGCAAGGACGTGAAGGTCTTCGTGAGAGGACAGAGCCTTTATGAGAAGTATGTGAGTCCTTCCCCACAGAGCAGCTCTCAGCAAGGGGTGGTTGGATCTGGGCTGCTGCCTGTGCTTGCTGCTGGTGCTCTGCTGCTGGGAGCCACGGCTGCAGGTGGCTTTTCTCTTTCTTCTCTGCACCCCCTGTCCAACCAAACCCACCCTGTCATTCTGGGAGCTGCTGCTTCCTGAGCCCTGTCAAGGCCACAGGACAACCAACGCCTTTGGGGCTGGGACAGGAGCTGCACTCTGAGCTCATGGACGTTTTTCAGGGCTCCAAACCACATGCAGGTTCTGTCATCTGGTGCAGGGAGGCACTAGGGTCCAGTTTGCAGTTGGAGTGTTCCTGGGATGGGTGTGTCCAGCGGGAATTCCCAGCCTTCCTACAGCCTCCCTGGACGAGCTGCCTCCACCAGCATGGTCAGGATTTATGTCCCACCAACCAGCAGGATACAGGACCTTCAGGGCTATCCTGGGCCTGGATCCTTGCACCTCACTTTGCCTACCTGCAGAACCTGTAGCAGGAAGCCTGCTTCTCAGGCAGGAAAGAGAACTCCTCCCACCTCCAATTATTCACTTTTATTCGTGTTGGTTGTTTCAGGTTTAAGTCCAAGCTCTCTTCTCAGGGAGCTCACAAGTTAATTTCTTAGGCTGGGTTCCACCACAACACCCCTCCCTCTGGACCCTTTAGCAGCCTCTTCACCTCTTCCCCATTGCCCACCCCTGGCAGCCCGACCCACAGACCGGCTCTCAGGGAGAGCTGCCCCAGGCAGGCAGGCAGGGATTGCTGGTGTCCCCTCCGGCAGAGCCGCATCGCTTCTCCTTTGCTCTTGCTAGCAGTGGGACCGAGGATCGGGCTGCACCCCCTCGTGGAGACGCTGCATTGAGCACTCGAGCTGCAGCCTGAGGATGTGTTTGCTGAAACGCACCTTCCCCAGCAGTTCGGACCCTGCCGTTTGTTGCACGCCTTGGGTTGCTTGCTTGGCTTTCCCCTGGCATATTGAGCTGAAGATGAACTGGCTTTGCTGAAGCTGCTTCCTCGGCTGGGCTGAAGTTTTACCAAGCTGCTCTGCACTGCCCCTTCCCTCCCCCTGCTCCAGGCAGCAAGGGTTTGGCTGTAACGCTTTGCCTGCTTCTCTTGGCCCTGCTTCTCTTGGCTGCAGCTCCAGGCTGGACCAGCAGCATCACAGGAGCCTTGTCCCACCTCTGTGCCAGGCTGGTGAGCGTGGAAGGGTCAATTCTGAAGGTGAGAGAGGAGAACTCGGTGAAGTACCAGAGGACTTTCCTGGGCTGCGAGATGATTGACTGGCTGGTTCAGGAGGGAGAAGCAGAGAACAGAAAGGAAGCAGTGGAGCTGGGCCGGGCGCTGCTGGAGCACGGGATCATCCAGCATGGTGAGCCAGGGCCTGGCTGCAGAGGAGCAGAGCTGTCAAGGCTGTGCTAAGAACAAACCTCCATTCATGTTATGCAACAACTGTTGGTCAAGTGCCCACTTGGAGATGGTAATGGGGCCTTTTAGTTCTATGTTTGGAGCTGGTGACCTTTGAAATCAGAGCAGTCTTCTTCCACCACCCACAAAGGCTTTGGGCTGCAATCTGAGCTATTGCTTTTCAGTTCTTCAAAGCCTCCGGCTGCAGGGCTGGGATCTGCCCCTGGCTGTTTGAAGGGCTGGCTTGTGAGGATGTGATCCTCAGCTCTGCTTGGTGGCAGATCAGAACCATCTGCAGGAATGAAACTTTCCGTTCAGCAG